ATATATATAGATGCTGTGCGAACAAAACCTCATATCTCGAAAATGGTAACTTTACAGGAGATAGAAAAAAACATGCTTTATTTTTAATGTAAGTCAATGGAACCAGACTTTTTTCCAAATCATTTTGGGCTGTTTTTCTTGGTCCAATCATCATTAAATTTATATACAATTCAGAAACTGAAAAATGGCAAAAATGGAGAGATTTTATATACATATATATATATATATATATATATATATATATATATATATATATATATACATAAAACATCTCCAAAAATGTAAGACTTCGAACACCATGACTTCAAATCTACAGATAATGCCGTTCCTGCACTGTATAAATAATAAATATCGACCAACAAGTCTTGTACAGTGTGCTGGTTGAATTATCACATGTATATGTACCTTATGTATCTATATGGTTTGTATTAATAACAAATTTAAGCTAAACATCTCTTGAGAGTGGAAGACTTCAAAACAGCGAGGCTTTAAACCGACAGATAATCCCATTTCTGCACTGTATAAATAATGAATATTGACCAACGAGTGATGTCTCACACAGTCTGCTGGTTGAATGGTCACATGTATATGTATATCCTATGTATCTATATGGATTTGATAAATAACAAATTCATGCTAAACATCTCTTGCGACTTTGGGACAGCATGACTTCAAATCTACAGATGATGCCACTTGTGCATTTTATAAATAATTAGTATCAACCAACAAGGAAACAAGTCTCATAAACAGTGCTGGTTCACTGTATTGTAACGTATGTATGTGTGTCTTATGTATCTACAGACCTCAAATCTACAGATAATGGCATTTCTGCAGTGGATATGTAATTCGAGTATGTATACCTGGTTTAGTGTACTATACATGAATATGTATCATATAGCTTTGATTAATTCCATATTTAAGCATAACTTCTCCTGAAAGCATAGGACAGATAAAGGTATATGTGCACTTTATAAATAATTCATATCAACCAACAACAAATACTGTGTATGTGCTGGTTCAGTGTATCACTGCACATACATATATGTATCTTCTGTATCTATATGGCTTTGATTAACTGCAAATGTAAACAAAACATCTCCTGAAACATCAGACTTCAAACAGAACAACTCAAAATCTACACATAAAGGCATTCAAATACTGTAGAAATAATTAAGGTCAACAAGTAAGTGAGCTACAAGCTCATACAGTATGTATGTATGTATCCATATGGACTTGATTAATTAATCATTTAAACAAAATATCTCCTGAAAGCATAAGAGCTAGAACAGCACAACTTCAAAACTACAGATGATAGCATTTACACACTGAGTAAATAATTAACACCAACCAACAAGTAAACAAGTCTCATGCAGTGTTTGTGCTGGTTCACTGTATCACTGTATACGTCTGTGTATATTATGCATCTATATGGCTTGGATTAATTCCACGTTTAAGCAAAACATCTCATGAAAGCGTAAGACTGTGAACAGCACGACTTCAACGCTACAGAAAATGGCACTCGCAAACCGTTTAAATCATTTATATCAACAAGAAAGTGAGCCACAAGCTCCTGCCATGTGTATGTGCCTGGTTAAGTTCATCACCAGCAGCAACGCTGTTCATATCAACACCTCATTCATTTGACATCAGCTGTTCTTCACACCGTGGAAACACTGCATGATGACTGAATCGATAGATTACTTGAAATGACTTGTGGCATTAACGTGCATTAAGGTTAAGAATAAAAAAGCTATCATTTTAGAGATGTGTATCTTGCATATCACTGTTATTATCTCCAAAATGGTAACTTTACAGGAGAAGGAAAAAACACACTGTACTTTTAATGTACATCAATGGGACCAGACTTTTTTCCAAGTCATTTTGGGTGATTTCTTTTGGTCCATTCTTCATGAAATTTACACACAATGTAAAGGGCAACAGGCATTTTCAAATTATGTCAAAAACTGAAAAACGACAAAAATTTCTTTTTGAGATTTATATATATTTTCTTCCGACAGCAGTGATATGTATTTGGCTGTGATAAACTGCAAATGAAAGCTAAACATCTCCAGAAAGCGCAAGACTTCAAACAGCACGACCTCGACTCTACAGATAATTGCATTCGCACACTAATAAATTATTAATATAAACCAAAAAGTAATGTGTTTTACAGTGCCTGGGAGGAGTTTCACTACACCTTTAAAAATAAAGCTGCCAAAAAATGGTTCTTTGGAGCAATGCCACTTTTGGTTCCCTGAAGGGAATGGTTCTTTAAAAATTTAAGAATAAATTTGAAATCGCTTAATTTAAACCAGAACTCTTTTTGACACCTTTATTTTTAAGAATGTAAATGACTTTGATAAACTGCAACAGCATAAGACTTTCGAATGGCACTACTTGAAATCTACAGATTCTGGTATTTGTACAGTGCACTGTATAAATAATTAACATGAACCACACGAACACATATCTCATACAGTGTATATATGCCTGGTCACTATATGGAAATCGCTGCTGTGGGAAGAAAACCTTGTATCTCCATTTTTGTTGTTTTTCAGTTTTTGACATAATTTGAAAATGTCTATGGTCCTTTACTTTGTGTGTAAATTTCAGGAAGAATGGACTAAAAGAAACGACCGAAAATTACTTGTAAAAAAGTCTGGTTCCATTGACTTACATTAAAAGTAGAGTATGTTTTTTCCTTCTTTCCATTTTGGAAGGTTTTGTTCCGACAACAGCGAAATGTATGTTTGTTGTACTCATGCTAAGTGAATGTTTGCTAATGAAGCAGAGCCAATTCAGCTGATTATTCTACAGTTCAAATGAACAGTGGGCCTGGTTAAACATACCAGCATACACACCCACACACTCATTTATGTGCGTAAGTGTGTGTGTGTGTGTATATATATTTATATAGATATATGTATATCGCTGCTTTCGGACCAAAACCTCATATCTCCATTTTTGTTGATTTTCAGTTTCTTACATAATTTGAAAAAACCTACTGTTATTTATATTGTGTGTACATTGCAAGACGAATGGACCAAAAGAAATGGCCCAAAATTACTTGGAAAAATGTCTGGTTCCATTGACTTACATTAAAAGTAAAGTATGTTTTTTCCTTCTCCTTATCATTACGTGTGTGCGCGCGTGTGTGTTTGTGTGTGTCTATATGGCTTCGATAAACTGCAAATTCGAGCAAAACACCTCCAGAAAGCAAAATAATCCGAACAGCATGACTGCAGATAACAGCACTCATACAGTGCACTGTACCAATAATTTATGTCAATCAACAAGTAAACAAGCCTCATACAGTCCGCACATGCCAGGCTTAATATATCATCACACACATAAAAGTATGGCGGTTCTACCAAATGAGTGCATGCTAATGAAGCACAGCCAAGAGCAGCAGACTAATTTCACTCCTTACTTCAAACCTGCCTGCTTACATGTGTTGTCGGACACGGATATGAAGTGGAGGGGGGTAGAACCTAACATACATTTTAAACAGGTTTAAGTAGAACATGCTCTTGGTCATCTCGTATTTCCATAGCAACGCTGTCTGTGAAATTTCCCAGCAATCAGACAGATGTTTCTCCAGGTTCACCCTGAAGACTGTTTGTACACCATAAGTAACTTTTTTATTTTATATATTTTTCAATTACTGAGTGTTACTCAGAATTCACTCCCATTTTATTTTACTCTCTCTTGGTGACTGTAATATAGCACCATTTTGAAGCATGTGAACAAGCCAGCCTAAAGTACAGCCTTAGTTCTAACAAGCTGTTGCAACTTAGACCCCCAAAGTAAGCAATGAGAGATCTCCATATCCTCCCATATACACTCAAAACACAATCTCATATTTATCTGAATGCATATGTTGTAGGTATTTAGGTTGGAAAGCTCATCTGCTTCAATCAACATAGAATTACACTAAATGAATTGTGTTGCAGTAGCCCTTTAGTCTCTTTATTAACAATTAACCCTGCATACGGGGTAAACTGATTTTCTCTATTATCTCTCTCTTGCTGACTGTAATATAGCACCATTCTGAAGCATGTAAACAAGCCAGGCTAAAGTGCAGCCTTCCCTCGGTGGGGTTAGGTTTAACATACTGTTACAACTAAGACCCCCAAAGTAATCAATCAGAGACCTCCATATCCTCCCATATATCGCTGCCGTTGGAACAAAACCTTGTATCTCAATTTTTGTCGTTTTTCAGTTTTTGACAAAATCTGAAAGTGCCTGTTGTCCTCCTTATTGTGTATGAATTTTTTGAGGAATGGACCAAAAGAAACGGCCCAAAACGACTTGGAAAAACGTCTGGTTCCATTGACTTACATTAAAAGTAAAGCATGTTTTTCCATCTCCTGTAAAGTTACCATTCTGGAGATACAAGGTTTTGTTCGCGATATATTCAACACAATCTGGAAATTTTATTTGCTTAATTTTTTTAATTTTTAACAATCTCTTTTTGCTAATCATATTTATTTGAATGCATATATTTTATGTATTTAGGTTGGAAAGCTCATCTGATTCAATCAACATAGGACATATCCCCTCAGTCTGTTTATTAACAATTAACCCTGCCTATGGGGTAAACTGTAACGTCTCCACTTGCGCCACGTTTGGGTGAAATGTTCACCAACTGTAGGTGCTGGAAATAAAGTTTACATGTTTATGTGTAGCAGAGATGTGCAGGTTGCTTGTATAACAATGAATCTTGAATCAAATATGTTTAATATTCTTTAGCAAAAAGACAAACAGGCTGTGTTCCGCTGTCTTTTATCACATAAATGGCTTTGATGAATTGCAAATTTAACCTAAGAGGATAAGAGTAAGTTTCGAGCAGCACAACTTATATACATAATGCACTGTATACATAATTAATATGAACCAACAAGCGAGCACATATCTTGGTTGAGTATATCACTGCACATGTATTCATGCTAAGTCAATGCATGCTAATGAAGCATAGTCAAATTGTACTCTTCACTCACTTTGCTGTCGTGGTAGATGAGTTCAAGCTCGTAGTCAGGGAGGATGTCCGTCCGCTTGTTGACCAAGTCCAGGGCCATTTGGGCGGAAGGAAGACACGCTTGACCGCCGGGCCACCCGCCACTCATGGGGAACAAGGCGCCGATGTAGAGTTTCTTCTTCCCTAGAGCCGGGCAGGGGCAGGACAGTAGCAAAGTCAGTACAAATGCGTGAGTGGCCACGGAGCGCCAAGAGCCAAATTGATGCTGGCAGTGTCCGGCCATGGCTGGAAATGAGCTTCAGTGGATCAAACAATCGGTCACTGATGAGAGTCCACGTCGAAAATGATTTAATTTGCAATAATGTTACTCAAAGATTTGGTCTCAAATGTCTCAAAACACCAGGTTTCCCCAAGGAGGAGTCTCGAGTGGAAGCCACACCGCTGACCAGGCTACACTTTTAACTTTGGACCCTACAAATTCAAACTTAATGAACATTTGTAGCCTAGTGGACGTGTTTGTTTATCAAAGGCTAATACATTTAAGACTTAATGCAGCATTATAAGCAATGTTGCAATAAGAGGAGCATTCCTCTCAGCATCGAAATGACATAATTGATTTACACACAGAGGAACGAGAGACCGGAGGATAATAAGGTCAATTAACACAGGCACAGGCCACGAAGTCAGTTAATTGAATTTTGGCAGCTAATGTCAGTGTCTGAATAGAGAGCGACAGTGCCACCACAGAGCTTTCTTTAAACCTCAGACCCAAAAATGGTCATTATTTACCAAAAGTGCTGGAAGATACATATAAGTGGCCTAGAATATCATTAGTGAAGCCCAAATATTCTAGTAAAGTAAAGGAAGTGCACACAGAGAAGCACCCCAGAGTACAACTGTCACTAATAAACAAAAACAAAGACGTCAAAGTAGCACTGGTCACCTGAACTCAGCCTGTGTTTTCAGTATAAGACTTACGCATCCGCTTTACGTCAAAAACGCATAGCTACATACTCACGGCTCTCCTGAACCATCACTGCCAACGGGGTCATTTCAATCAAATTAACGTCACATTTTGTGTGCGATCACCGCAGTGCGTTACCATCCACTCGAGCTGACCCTCCTTCTGGTGTCTCATTGCATAAAGAGATTTAAGAAAAAAACACTTGAAATGACAAAGTGTATCAGAAGCCAGGCTGGAGGCAGATGAGGCTGGTAGATGCGTCTAATCCACGCAGCCTCCAGCTAAAGACGGAAAACAAAAGGAGCGGAGAGGAAAATGGTGAAGAGGACGGCTCGCAGCAAGTGCATCCGTGGGCTGCAGCAGCGAGACTGAGAGAGAAACAGAGTGTGCCAGGTTTAGAGGGAGAGAGGGAGGGAGTGAGAGAGAGAGAGAGAGAGCAGGGAGAGAGGGAGGGAGTGAGAGAGAGCAGGGAGAGAGGGAGGGAATGAGAGAGAGAGAGCAGGGAGAAAGGGAGGGAGTAAGAGAGAGAGAGAGAGAGAGAGAGAACGGAAGAGGGAGAGAGAGCAGGGAGAGAGGGAGGGAGTGAGAGAGAGAGCAGGGAGAGAGAGCAGAGAGAGGGAGGGAATGAGAGAGAGAGAGAGAATGGGAGAGGGAGAGAGAGCAGGGAGAGAGGGAGTGAGTGAGAGAGAGAGCAGGGAGAGAGGGAGAGAGAGCAGAGAGAGAGAGGGAGGGAATGAGAGAGAGAGAGCAGGGAGAGCGGGAGTGAGAGAGAGAAAGAGCAGAGAGAGAGGAAAGGAGAATGAGAGAGGGAGAGAGAGAGAGATAGAGAGAGCAGAGAGAAAGAGAGAGAGAGAGGAGAGAGAGAATGAGTGAGGGAGGGAAAGAAAGAGAGAGAGGGAGACAACGGGAGAGGAAGGGTGAGAGAGGTGAGAGAAAGAATGAGTGAGGGAAGGAACGAGAGAGGGAATGAAAAGGGAGAAAATGAAGGAGAATGAGAGAGAATGCTAGAGGAGAGAGAGAAGTAGAGGAGGTAGAGAAGGAAGAGAAGGAAGAGGAAGTGAAAGAGAATGGTAGAGAGAAGGTGAGAGAGAGAGAAGAGAGAGAATGAGTGAGGGAAGGGAAGAGAGGTGGAAATGAAGAGAGTGAGAGAGAGAAGTAAAGAGAAATAAAAGGAAGAGAGAGAACGAGATGAAGAAGGAGAAAGAGAGAAGGAGAGAGAGATAGAGGATGGAGAGAGGAAGAGAGAGAGAGAGAGAGAGAGAGAGAGAGAGCTGTGGGGAGATGAAGGGGAGGGATCGAGCTCTATCCCCTCTCCGTTTCACAAACCACTTTGAATTTGCAATCCTTTAACACAGCCTTTCTCGTTTATCTCCCCTCCCTCTTTCCCTCTTTTCTCTGCCAGATACATGCAGCCTTTTTCTCCTCCTGAAGCACGAACCCCTCCACGCTTTCAGCTCGCACTGCTCACACCACTTTATGCAGAATTCATGCTAATAATGAACATTTAATTATGAAAGTGGCCTTTGAAAGATGTAGAAGAATCTCTCTGTCTCTCTGTCTCTCTCTCTCTCTCTCTCTCTCTATCCTTTCAATTCAATTAGATTTAATTCAGAGTGCTTTTTGGCACGGACGTTAATGCTACATTTGAATTTCTAAAGCTTACATTTAAGTATATTAAAAGAAAATAAAATAAGAAAACTTTCCCCTCTCTCTCTCTCCATCTCCTGCTCACTCTCTTATTCATATTCTTCCTCTGCCTTGACCTCTTTGTTCAATTGAACTGAATTCATTTTATAGACATTAAATAAGAAAACAGTACATCTCTCTCTCTCCCTCTCTTTCCTCCTTTCCTTTCTCTCCCCCTCACTTTTCCCCTCCTTAATCTCTCTCTCTCTGTCTTGTTTGTACACACAATAAAGAACGTCTGCCTCTGCGCTTCCTAAATTCAATTCAGAACTCAACTTATTTCAATCCAGTTCAGTTTAATTTAGTTCTCTTCCGTTATTTCAATTCAATTCAATTCAGTTCAACTGATTCAGCTCAATTCAATCCAGTCCAATTCAGTTTAGCTCCAAACTCTCTCTGCCTCACATAAACCCATAGTTAGTTATTTAACAAGGAACCAAGTAAAAACTCAACAGCTATACTGTATATTGACCCATACTGTAAACGGGTCCCCCAGGTCGCACCCTGATATCACAGTTTGAATACGGAGAATGAATTTGAATCTTTATCTCCCTCTCTCTCTCTCTCGCTCTCTCTCTCTCTCTCTCTCTCTTCATTTTTTCGTGCATGTACGTACATGTTTTGTGCCTTAACTTCTCTTTCAAGTAACTCCAGATTAATCCATTTAAATTCAGTTCAGTTCAATAAATTTAGTTCAGTTCAATCAGTTCAATTCTGATTAGTTCAATCAATTCAGTTTAATTCAGTTCAGTTCAGTTCAATCAATTCAATTCAGATTAGTTCAGTTCAGTTCAATCAATTCAGTCCAGTTCAATCAATTCAGTTTGATTCAGTTCAGTTCAGTTCAGTTCAATCAATTGAGATTAGTTCAGTTCAGTTCAATCAATTCAGTTCAGTTCAATCAATTCAGTTTAATTCAGTTCAGTTCAATCAGTTCAATTCAGTTCAGTTTAGTTCAGTTCAATCAATTCAGTTCAGTGCAATTCATTCAATTGAACTCAAATCAGTTCATTTCACTGCAGTTCGATTTAATTCAGGCATGGATTAACATGACAAATAAAGAAACATTTCTATTGCTGAAGCTTGGCTTACAAAATTTGAGAATTTTAAGAGAATATTTTTCCTCCACCTTCCTCACTCTTTATTCTTTCTTCTTCCTCCTCTCTATTCACTCCCATCTCTTCTGCTTCTTCCTCTCCTAACCCTCACTCTCTCCTCCGTCTCCGTCTGCCAATCAGTGTCTGTTCTTAATCTAGCAGGATCATTAAGCAGGTCGGAGTGGAGCGCTGGTGGAGGCTAAAGCTAAACTCCGATATGAATCACATTCTGTTTTTCTCTCTCTCTCCCACACACTCCCACACAAACACACACACACACACACACACACACACACACACTCTCTCTCCATCGCCACAATCTCCCTCCTTCTCCACTCACACAGCACACACACTAATCCCCGTGCATTGTGAACATACGCAGCACACTGAAGATCTTCCTGCTAATCCAGCTCAAAGATGTACACCCATAGCAAAGGAAAATAAAGAAGAGATCTCCTTAATATCTCTGCAGTTTCTCCTACACTGTTAGAAATAAAAAGGTGCTGTGCAGGTACATTTTTCGTTCATCAGGGTAAAAACAATGTAAATGTTCCCTCAAAGGTACAACAGTGGTTTTAAGGTCCAACTGTGCACCTTAAATAAGTTTTTCTCAGTGCAAAAGTCCGTATTTATACCTTTTCATAACCGAATGTTTTAAAACAGAACAATAAAATAAAAAGCCTGGAGACGAGACGGGGTGTGTGGAGTCCAGCTTAGACAATATAATATCAATAGATTATGGTACAATTATGTTCCCTGACTAAAGGTACTGAGATGTACCCTTGAGGGTCCCACCCCAGTGAGAGTTTAGTACCTTTATTTCTGAGAGCGTAGACAACAGTGAGATCAGACGGAAAGAGAAAGTCTCTCCTGCTGCTCAAAGTGTCTCCACTGGGGTTTTAACCGAGATCTCAATAAAATCACACACTGTTTTCCAAGATGCTAACACTCATCTGAACTGAACTGAGCTGAACTGAACTGCAGACAGGAATCTCAGTATTTTTCATTTTTTTCAGTATTTAAGATGGTTCTTCAAAGGTTCTTTAGTAAAAAAAAATGGTTCTATATAGAACTGTGAACACTGAACTGATTCTTTGCATCATTAAATGGTTGTTTAGACTGAAGGAGAATGGTGCTGTAGGTTCGATACAGCACCAAAAAGGGTTCTTCTATTTTTACAAGCTTGACATCATACCAATAGAAGAACCCTTTTGGGTGCCATACGGAACCCTAAAAATGTTCCAAAGCTGTCATGTGTACATTTTTTATCCAAATGCCACCAGACCAGTGTTTTCTTATTTGGGATTTGTTCTTAGGTAAGAACAGAATCTATGCACACTCAAGAGCACAAAGGTGAGAACAGTTCTGTGCTTTTTTATGGAAATGGTTGAACCACTGTCTTTACTTAAGAACCCTTGAAGAGCCATCAATTTTAA